ATTTTTTAATATATATTGGGACTTAGTGACTGGCCACTTATATGATATTCATTGAGCGGCAAGACCACGTATCGAGCTTGGTCTCCGTTGAGCAGATATAGATTGAAATGTTGAAATTCCAGATATCTTGTCTTCGCTAAGTGGCTAGATCGAAATCTTGATACTCAGATATATCAGCTTATTGTTGAACGGCAATATCGCGATCTTGATGTCACCAAGTACAGCACAGCACAGCCCAGTACCGTACAACCCAGCACATGACAGCACAGCGCAGCCCAGCCCAGCCCAGCACAGAACGACACAGAACAACACAGACAGGAAAGCCCAGCGCAGCCCAGATATTTTTTCACCGTCATCAGAAGCGTCACGCAAGCATTGCTGACATCTTGCTGTTCATTGTTCTTTCTGAAGTTCAGTTCATCTGGTTTCTGTCTTGCAGTAAGATCTATGAATTTCAAAAACCTTTATTTTCTAAATTAGTTAGTTGAATTTAAACACATAATCGATAAGTACGGAACTACATCTTGGAGCCAAGAACATTTATCGTCGTGCACTAATAACTTTGCTAATCGCTCATGGGAGGTTGAAATGATTTAAACAACTAAAAAATCGTATTCATTTACCAGTTAATGGGTGTTGGAAGACGGGACGAAAGAAAAATATTAAGCAAAATAATTTCATTTAAATTTTCAGTATTGTAGTTCCAACTTCTAAGGCATCAAGATTTTACACACAGTAACAACAGTCGTTAGCAAATATGTGAATTTAATCAGGTGAATGAGCTTTTTTCATGCTCAATCTTCAATGAGCTCTTCAATATCACTTAATTTATATGATAGCCTTATAGTTATAGGAATGTTTGGTAACCGTCATGCGTAAATTTTTCTTTACAAAAAGGTCAAGAGTAGGGCAACGTGGGGCAGCGCGCCCCCCACTTTTTTTAAACTAAATTTTTGATGAAGTTTTAATTGATACGAGGTGGTTCTTTGTTTTGTTTAAAGGTGCAACTAATGAGGAATGTATCTGTCTCTTATACACATCTAGATGTGTATAAGAGACAGGTGAAATTNGGGCTCGCTGCCCCATGTTACCCTATATAGGATAGTCCCTCCTACATATATAATTCATAGAAAAATATAACGGGATGACTTGCGTAACTTTTTCGATGTCCGATACCAGCGTCTTCAACGTTGAAGCTCTAATGATCATTAAAAAAAAACTATCTTATATATACACAGTGTAATACAGTGAAGCAGTGTACTAGTTATTGACCAAATCAGAGAAATTATTGCAAATTTTAGTGTTTGAAAACACAGATGATGATTATTGATTTCTCTATTTTATCTCTCTCTACGGAAACGTTCTAATAACATACTCAGATATTTATAATAATACGATAAAATGACAGTTCATTCAAGGATTTAATGAAATAACTTCAAAACGAAAATTAATTAATACCCTTTACTTGTATACAAGATCATATAATAGAATAAATAGTAGCCAGCTTCAGGCTTCTCACATTTCCAGAATATAAAGCAAAATCCTCATGCACGTAAAGATTTGGAACAACGCGTAACTTATGCACAAATAAGGAAATGCAGAACATTACTTCTACTGGAAAATTCGCACTAAAAAAAACCTTGGATCGTTTGAAGTTGGGTTAAGCCAACAGCAAAAAAAACTTATGAGTTGGGTTTAAAACCCCGGAAAACTTTTATTCTATTGGTCTTAGACCCCATCGTCTAAATTCTAAATTAAGAGATATCACCTTATATAAAAGGTGAAACTTTTTTTGCCGATTCTTTTAATCTCTAAAGAGATCCAAAAGTTTACAATATACTATTATTAGTAATAAATATTGAACGTGTCAGTTCGATTCAGAGCCGATCTAAAATGACTGATAAAAGTTATCAAACAATATAAGTTAGAAGAATGAGACTTTTCTTTTCGAACGATAAAAATAAAATTGCAAGTTAAGCTACGAAACAATTTTTTCATAGATAAAATTGAATTTTAACAAGAAAAACTTGTCAAAAATTTGCACGAATGAATAGAAATCGTAATAATCATAAAACAGATAACAAAAATAATTCTATGCGTGGAACGACTAGCATCGACGCAGTTCGTTTCAATACGTTCTACAAACGTGGCATCTGTATACTATGAAATAAAACGAAATAATTGAGAAAGCAAAGCGAGTGCATACGACTTCAATGAAAATTCAATTAACCTATTTCTAGAAATGTAATTGAAATAATTACGATTTCCGGATTATGCATTTCCGTATAAGCAGCATTATGGCTTTCAATTGTAATCTTAAAGAAACGTTCCGCTGCATTGAAATTCAACTCGAAAGTTCCCGCAAATCTATAAATTTATTCAGTTTAAAGCTGTAAAAAGTGTGTTAAAATTTCACGACTATCAGTTCAGCCGTTTCTAAAATAGAATTGGTATTCACAAATCCTGAAATTCAACTCGAAAGTTCTTGCAAATCTAGAAATGTATAGGGTCCGCCATATTTAGGGCAACGGATGTTTGTCATATAAAATAAACATATAAAATAAATTGGTTCCTAGGAGACTTTTCTTTTATAATGAAGCTTAATATCATTTATTACTTCATCTATTTTATATTGCAGAAGTTTAAGGTGCCTAAATTTACTATATTACTTATGACAGTAGATAGAAATGCAATTGTAACTCTTCATGAAAAGGGCGAGAGTAATTCAGTCATTGCAAATAAGCTTCAAATTCGTCGTAAAACTGCGTGGTTAAGGTGGTAACAAAATTCAAGGAAACTGGTGAAACATGCAATCGACCTGGTCAAGGAAGGAAACGAAGTGTCCGAATAAAACAATTCGTCAAAAACATGAGGGAGAAGTTGAGGAGAAATCCTTGTCCCTTAGCTGCAAAATTGGCTGCAGAAGCAGGAGTCAGTCAGACNAGCCTGTCTCTTATACACATCTAGATGTGTATAAGAGACAGGTCCGTGACCTCAAGTTTTCGCCGACGAGAAAATGCGCTCTCTGTCACTCAGTGCAGTGAGTACTGAGTTATATATTTTTTTGTGTGTCTGTGAGGTTTCGTTTGAAGTCTGACGTCGCCACAATATAAATGCTGTTGGGGGCGCGTATCCAGGATACTTTAAGTGTCGGGATAGTTATTGGACCTGAAATTTAATTCTTCATGGGAGAACAGTAAGGCGTTGCAATACTGGGAGGAAAGGATTAAAAATTGAAATTATAATTTTTTCAATGGGCAATTATAAATTAATTAAACAGATGCAGAATAATTTTTTACATATTTTGAAATTTGAATAAAATGGAAGTCCTATCTTCTCCATTAAATATTGGTTTGAAGGGTCATCCATTAAATTACAATTCAAAAGTATTATTTTTATTAACCGGATATAGGATTAGGAGAGTAATAGGATTTGGGATTACAACATTGCAGGAATTATCAAGCCTCTGTAACGCTGGATCAGCTCATAATTAGTTCGACCATTTGAGATAACCTGCTATATAGCTAGAGATTGAACCCAAAAACATTGCCCCTAAGTAACAGTATTTGTGGGATTATCGGCAAGTGAAAAAGGAATATTTTTAATTATTTCGAAATTTCGTTCGGTGATGCCGCCCACATAGATAGAAAGGCACTAAATGTGGTCAAAATTTCGAAATATTAAATCGAGTTTCCCTTTTCACACAATTGTATATTTTTAGCAACGCAGGCATCAACAGTCGGGAGGTCTTATTTCATTAAAGCTTCCCATTTTTAATGTTCGGAAATGCGACGCAAAATGTCAACACTTCACACGAAAAATTTACTCACTGAATCATCACTATGCTCATACGTTGTCGTGCAACGAGAACGCGCAACAATGAATGACGGCCAAATCGACAAATTCCTCTCGAATTTAACCCAAGATCGATAAATATTTAAATGAGTCCATGCGCAAAGTTTAATTTCGTGGACATAAGCAGGTTCGAAAAAATTTCTTGCTCGCAGCCAAATCCCTCTCCACTTGTGAATGTATCCAAAATTGAAAAAATTTTCATGACCTTTATTACAACGAAATTGTTACTAAATTTATTTCAATGTTTAACTAGAAACTGTGTAGCAGTTAGGAGAGTAATTTATCGGTCGCTATGAAATCCAGCCTTTATGTCAGTGTAGCATTAGTATGAAGACAAAATCATCAATTTTTTAACAGCCATAACATTAGTGAAGCTTTATAGTAATATTAGGTATAAAGTTTAATTTAAATCCGTTCAGTAATTTAAAAGATTTTTTTATTAAGTACAGCCGTAGAACTTGTCAAAATAAAAAAAAACGTGTGACCTAAATACAAATTTTGGAATAATTTGATGATTCTGGCCATGGTTGAACTAGTATAAGGTTAAACCATGAAATGCTCATTTTCGCGGATGGAGCTTTTTCTTCGTATGTAACGTCACTGATTTCATTGGCGTCACGAACATTAACCAATCACCGAAATGTGTACAAACTAGTCAACCAATCCGTCATGGGAATGACGAGTTTGTTTACGTTTTTCGATCTACGTGACGTAACAAGAAAGCTGAACTGAAAGGCGGAACGTCTCGTTTGTCAACCTTCTAGCTACCGTAACTGGCCGTAGAACTGCCATATGGGTCCATAAGTCAGGCAACGTAATTTTGCTGAGGAAGAAAGACTGACTACGTACATTGTGATTGATTCAAAAATAATATGACAATAAAAGAGCATAACATAATCAAGTCCTGACAAATCAACATAATCACGAAAAATTTGGTTTGTGATTGATTAAAAATGATCGATTCACAATGATTATTTCAGAAAAATTCTGACCATAAAAGGAGAGAATATAATCAAGTCTTTCAAAAAATTTGATTTCATCCCAAGAATTTACAATTGTACTATGAATTTACAACCAATTTGGTAAAGTTGGCTAGCCTACCTGACACAGGCGTGACGTCACGCAGCGAAAGATAAACACACAGCTGGGAATTGCCTGATAATTCAGTCGAGGCTGATCTCTCGTGTAAGTGTGACTGTGCGCGTGCGTACGCACCGTGATCTAGTTTAGTTGATAGGGAAATAGCTTAAGCTTATTGTGATATTTGATCATTAGTTCATCTTATGTGGAAGTGAATATTCAAAGCCTTGGTCCACAATGAAGATGACACCGCCACCATCCTCCCCAGTCCGGACGGGCAACAATCTTAGGCTTGGAATTGTGAGGCTTGGAAGAGCTGCTGGAAAGGTACGGGGTCTCACAGTCACTTCTGTTTACGTTGTGAATGACTTTTCTCTCGGAACAAGATGATATACCTTATTAACCTTTACTCTCAACACTTGCCCTACTTTGAGTTAATTGTGTTCAAAGTTGTTTGATTTGAATTACTAATTGATGTTCAACTGTTCATTTTTTTCAGAATTCCACAGAGTTTCTTGGATGAATAGTCAGATTATTTTGTTTCAGTTGCTAATTGGGTGAAAGAAATATACTTTTAAAGCCACATAGACATACCCACATCTGCATTTTTGGTGCCATGACTTTCTTAAGCTTATGTCCATGAATTCAATTTCTGAATGGTGAATGCATTTTCTGGAACATGGAATTTAATATTTAATCCTAACAAGTTTAAATTCAGATCTTTACCTATGCACTTAAACTAGAAACAAAAATATTTTGCACTTGTTAAAAGCAGTTAAGCACATTATAATACAATGTTTTTGTTTTTGGCCAAGATCTGTCAATAAGAAGATTATAATTTCATTTCTGTTACTGTTAGCATTGTTAGCATTTTACGCAGTTGCAAAGGCGCCAGGCCGCCAGCCTGCTAAAGTTTGGGAACCACCAATGTAAATGAACACAGTGGAACTATTGTAATGACAGCAAATTCTTGGCTAAAATCACATAAATTAACAACTTTTTGGCATTTAACTAATAAATGAGTAAGCATCAAAATTAGAGAATCAAAAGTGTAGGTAAGGCAATTGAAATAACTCATGAAAATATGATTCTGTTAATATGCTATTTTGAATTAAAAGCAAGCCAATGAATTAAATTCATGAGAAAATGTGCAAACATAAGCATAACAATAAATATCCTTGACTGAAATTCTAGAACATACCTGGTATTAACAAAATACCTGCTTTATGAAATATTTATTATAAGAAGCACTCGCCAAAGCCAATGCTAATGGGATGCCAATCTACCAACTCCTTCTATTAGTTACAACACATCACCAGGCTGCAACATGCATGAATAATATCATTATTGCAATTTTCCATGCTCCTGAAAATATAAAGAGCAATGAAATATATAGGCCTAGTGAAGTATAATGTATAAATTGGCTTCAACAATTCTTAACAGGTATAGTTTGTGATAAAAAATACAAAAAAGTAAAAAAAGTGAAAAATTGCTACATCATAGCAACCAACAGAAAATTTTTACTTTCCAAATAATGACTGAACACTGAACATTCTTGCCATTTATGGAGCCACCAGATTTCTGCTGGATAAATTATCTTGTATCTAATTGTTTATATAAAAATGGAATTATGATAAATTTCAAATTTAACAAAGTATATACTGTAAAATGGGGGTAACTTTGACCACTTTTTTTTTCAAAACGATGCCATTTTTTTACTAGATAAGTTAAACTTAAATTGGAACATGCAAAATACAGGTCTATACTCTAGCTTCACTTATCATAAATTGCTGGCTCTTTCCTCTCATAGTTTTGATGTAATTTCAAAAAAAGTGATGGTCTTTGTTACCCCAGCTCTTGGGGTTTCTTTGACCGGGTGTTAAAATCAATTTTATTTTTTGGTAAAATAACTCCAAATAACTCCAGGTTTTGGTGCATTGTAGTAGAACTCTTCTAGTTACATATGCAAATGATAAATTTGTGGGAAGTGTCATAGTTTGCAAATTGGGGGTGCTGCCCCCAATGGGCAAAATGTGACCACCTAATGGCAGCTGTGATGGGGTAACATTGACTGGCTTGGAAATTAAGTTAAAATTACCATATATAAGACTCTGTAGAGTCTGAAACATAAAAAAAACATGGTGTATCAAACATAAAATATGTTATATAGGTACCTATGGAAATTTTAACTTAATTTCCAAGCCGGTCAATGTTACCCCGTCACGCCTGCCATTAGGTGGTCAAAGTTCCCTCATTGGGGGGTGGTGCCCCCCATTTGCAAACTATGACACTTTCCTAAAATTTGTCATTTGCATATGTAACTAGAAGAGTTCTATGACAATGCATCAAAACCTGGATATATTTTACCAAAAAATAAAAAAATTGGAGGAGGTACTCTGACGGGCTTTAAATAATAGCTCTTTTTCATGGGTCTGGGGTCACATTATTAATTTTTTAACCTATTAGATATACAAACTTTTCAAATCTTTCTACTGTGTTACGTAGCCTCAGTATTAGGCCATTGATGGCCATTGACAAAATTTTTCTATGTATAATAGTTTTTGAGTTTTGGGGGTTTTTGTTAAAAAAATGAGAAGTGGTCAAAGTTACCCCGCAGGTCAAAGTAACCCCATTTTACGGTACTTGACTAATAGAGACATATTATTCAGTAAGAAGTTTGACTTTCCCCATTTTCTTGTAGTAAGGCAAGTGTCAATAATATATAATTTCTTAGTATAATTTCATTTCTGTAAATTTTTAATCCCATGAATCAGTTTTAACAGCCATTGATACCATCAAGTGGGGTGTCTTCAGCCACCAGGGGTGACTTCGGCCACCACTACAACAGAAACAAATGGCGGCAAAACAAAATAATTAACGTTGGCCAAAGTCACCCTGCTGGCCAGATTCACCCTCAGTGGCTGAAGTCACCCCGCTTGACAGTACCTACTCTATTTGAATTGCTAATTTAACCTAAATATAATGTATAAATATATATTTTTCTTCATTTTAATTGCAATTTACTGCTTGATGATGGGATATCAGTCAGAGACCAACACTGCCCAGCACCACATGGACTGAAATAATCCATCCAATAAAGTGGCTAATAAGTGTTCAAAATCGGTGGTTCACAGCAACACTTCCCTTGATAACATGTTATTCTTGCTTTTGTCTGAGGTATGTAGTGGTTTTATGCAACTCTGGCCAAACTTTTGAAAGGACAGCATATGTCGTGCCACAAATTCACTGGCTTTAGGATACCAAGGTAGGATTTTGGCATGCACCAGTTGCCTATTACTAATCCCATCAAATGGCAATTGATTATCATTATGAACTATGTGTGTCTAACAATTGTCATGGAAAAACAGTGTTCTATGGTCAATAGGGAAGATGTGGACTCTTCAATTAGGATGTTAGCTACTAATAAATGCAGCATTGATTGATAAACTATTGATAGTTTTTAGACTGCAATTGCATGAGGACCTTTGACAATGTTTGCAATGAGCAAGAACCAGTGATATTTTCTACCCAAATTGTTAGTGGGATTTGAATCAAACTGCGGAACTATATACCACAAACTCTGAATACAACATAAACGAGATAATGACAACTAATAATTTAAAATTGCCAAAAAAAAAGAACAATGGTGGGAAAAATTTCCCACAACTTTTGACTATTGCATTGATTATTATTGGACATTATCCAATGCATTCCCTATAAACATGTATGTTCTGTTGAGATGTCAAATCTCAATAGATGTTCCCACAACAAATCCAGACATTCTGTCTTGACATTCTCAAATATGTATTCTGAATAACATGAATATTCAACTTTGACTTCAGTCAGTTGGAAAATGATGGTGATTGTTTAATTACTGAAAGATCTATCACTAAAATATTTCTTATGGGCTGTCAATTAGTTGACAAACTTTTAGGCTTTAAATACTGTCAGTCTGCAACCAAGAATGCAATTCCAGTGCAAATGACTGTTGGAAATGGCCGCGAGTATATTTTATATTAGCTGATCCAGCCGTCTTTGCTAGGGAGGTTGTCCATACATTACAGGAAAAAATCGTGCTAAAGAACACGAAAATTCAAACACATGAACTTTGTAAAACGTAGGTAAGGCTTGATCTATCCTAAACAAACCGGAAGGTAGGAGGCTATCAGTTTATGAAAATGAACGTGCTCACTATTAATGCTTAGATTATGAGAGACATGGATAATCACCAATTACATCCAGTATATATAGTTGAAGTGTAATCAGACCGCTTAATTTGCACATTAACAGTTGGTTTTATTAGTATCTGTGAGGATAATTTTAAGCAAATCTGTTAAGTATTTATAAAGCTAATTTCTAGAGATTGTGCCACAATAATGTCCGATGAATTAATGGGAACACTTGAGAAACCATTGAATAAATGTTAGCCATACATATACAGGGTCCTTCAAAAAAATGTCCCTGATTTCAATAGGCTTTTGCAAAACTCATACGACACATATAGAACAATTAATTTTATTTGTGAATAGCTTATTTGATGCCATTTTATATCACTTAGTACACTTTACTTGGTTTTTAAAATTTTGTTTGATAAATGATCAAACCCCCATTGTTAAGACATTCACGAAGTCTTTCCCTGAAGTTGCCCATAGCTCTTCGTGTAACTTCCTTTGGAATGGCTGCCACTTCCTGCCTAATGGCATGTTTTAGTTCTTGCAGATTTCTGGGACGATATTTGTACACTTCAGCCTTTAGGTAGCCCCACAGAAAGACTCACACTGCTCGCCGGTCCATGGAAATGTTAAGAGAGTTGTTTTCTGGACGTCTTGTGTTTTTAAGAGGAGACATTTCCTGGCCCCTACGGTCACCCGACTTATCACCTTGCGATTTCTTTCTGTGGGGCTACCTAAAGGCTGAAGTGTACAAACATCGTCCCAGAAATCTGCAAGAACTAAAACATGCCATTAGGCAGGAAGTGACAGCCATTCCAAGGGAAGTTAAACGAAGAGCTATGGGCAACTTCAGGGAAAGACTTCGTGAATGTCTTAACAATGGGGGACATCATTTATCAAAAATAATTTTCAAAACCAAGTAAAGTGTACTAAGTGATATAAAATGGCATCAAATAAGCTATTCAAAAATAAAATTAATTGTTCTATATGTGTCGTATGATTTTTGCAAAAGTCTATTGAAATCAGGGACTTTTTTTTTTGAAGGACCCTGTATCAAGTCTTTGGGATTTTCGAAAACTTAGACTTTTTTCCATCTTTAATTCAAATGAGGTCAAATTTCGGAAAGTCTCGTCCGTTAACTATATTCCTGAAGCC